CATCCATATACCCATGTTTGCTTTCACTTACAACTCAGTACTATATATGCAAAAGGGTTCATATTTGTTGTCTGTACTTCCCACGTACCTCTCTACGTCTTTCTCATCCTCACTGTTGCCATATTGTAAAAACCAGTTTTGTGTTAGATGCTATAGCCCCAGCTTTCCCTGTTCCCCTCACCCTAGTACTGATGGAGGGGGGATATATTGCTTTTTCTCTGTCTTATCAATAACATTTACCTAGGAGGAGGAAAAGGTAAAGTGAGTTACTTTCTCGAGTCCTTTCTTAGAAGCATTTTTTTTTAACCCAAGGAAGGACATCGAGATGCCCTGTAGTCTTTCTAACCAAACTACACATAAAACATACTCTAGATAGGGAGCTCTGGTAGCACTTGACTGCTAACCAGAAGGCTGGCGCGGCTCCAACCCACCAGCCACTCCTCGGAAGGAAGGTTGGGCAATCCACTTCTGTAGTGATACTGCCTCGGAAACCCAAGGAGGGGTTGCTATGAGTCGGCCGACTCTATGGCACATAACAACAACAACAACAGATAGTTGAAAACTCAGTTGGTAAACACTGAGTGTTCTGTCTGCTCCAGGCCCGGTTCTAGGCATTAGGGATACGTAAATAACAGTCTAGGTCTGTCCTTATGGATTAATAGGCCAGTAGAAAATATTTTCTTTTCTGGAATTATTTGAACAGATATTTTTACTACCTCTTATTTCGCATTTAAGGAGCTCTGGTACTGAAGTGATTGAGGCATTTAACTGCTAACCAGAAGGTTGGCCATTCAAACCCACCAGCTGCTGCATGGAAGGAAGATGGGTCAGTCTACTTCCATAAAGATTTACCACCTCAGAAACCTACTGGGGGTCACTGTGAGTTGGAATTGACTTGATGGCAGTGAGTTTGGTTTGGTTTTTTTTTTTCTTTTTCTTTTTCTTTTTAATTTGGCACCTCGTACCCAAACTTATTCTGCTTTTCTGAACTTAGTAGCAACTGAAAATAGTTCATGCCCATCTTCTGAAAAAGGCCCTTGATAATTCTCATAAAGATTATTATGGAATTGTTCTTCTTTCTGGGTCACATAATCCTAGCTCATTTGACATTTCTACATAGAGTCTCTAGGTAGATATGGTGATTTATAGACCTCACCAGTCCATGAGAATAAAACAGATATTAAATCATGATTCTATTTATCAGTGTAGAATGAAAATCATCTTAAAAAAAATTACTTTTTAAAGAAATGCATATAGTGTGTGGGGGTCATATTCTCAGTAACTTCTCTATCATCTTTGTGACATTATTAGTGTTTTTATTATTTCTCTGAAGAATTACAGAAGATTCTATAATAATAATAATAATAATAATAATAATAATAAAATGGGCAGAAATAAAGTTTAGTCATTTCAGTCAGCATCCGTCTAGGAGTTCATATGAGTATGCTTAACTCTACCAGGTGATAAGAGGCCTTAAAGATTGAGATGTCTTGTGTGTGTGATATTAAATTGGTTAGGGTGTTGATACTACAAAATCTGTGGCTTCTGACTGGGATGGAATATCTCATATGTTAATACCGCATAACTTTTGCACATTAAATTGAGAATAGTAAGGAATTTCTCTGTGTTGCATCTTTGGAATTTGGAGATGCCAGTGTCACCTCTCCACACACACACCCAATTTCTAATAGGGAAAGCTTGTTCACACTTGCTTATTTTGGAATAGGAAATACCATTGTTATGAATTTATTCTCTGCAATGATTATGGAGGGCAATTTTGTGACAACAGCTGGGATGTGTTGGAACTAGTTGAGCAAAGAGTCACTTGTCCAATTTAGGTGGGCTTTTTAAACTTCTGTGATAAAGCAGATGGGCAGCAATGCTTAGAATATGGACAGCTGTTCATACTGGCTGCCTTCCTATAATTCCTGGGCTTCCTGGAGTCCAATGTTATGGCACAGGTTCAGGCTAAGTTCATTTCTACAAGAAACCTCCCTGAACCCAGCCTATTAGCATAAGCTAAGGACAAGGGCAGTCAAAGGTCAAGAGAAGTTCAAAACAGCATAACTTTTCTGTGCTTCTGTTTCCAAATAATCCCAGTCTCCCCTACTCCTCGAATTCTTCCCTTGCCATCATGCCATCATGTTTACCATGTAGTTGTAAAACTAAAGAGAACAAGAACCAACTTGATACAAGGGAAGTTAGAGAATACAAGTCATTGTTGCTTAAAACAGGAGAAATAATTGATTTATGTTTGGAGACCAATTAGGCTATAAAACAGGAACAGTAAATGAGCCTATGGCTTAAGGACAGCTACTTGTTCAGACTTCTGTCCCACAGACAAGGGGCTCCCCAATAAAGGCTGTCAGCTTTCTAGGCTAAATTATGAATTCCTTTCATGCCTCACAGGGATTGTAAACAGCACATAATACAGGAAAACAATCGATACTGTTCAGTTATTGGCCAGATAGAGGGTCAAAGGGTAAAGAGTTGGATTAGCAACAGCTGTTCGTCCACCCCAGTCAAATTTCTGTTCTTTTTAATCCACTTCAACAAAGCCATTTCTGAATTTTTGGTCTATGTATAGTTAAATTCTTGTTTATTTAAAAAAAATCTTACAAATAATTAAAGTGGAGAGTATACATTGACCAAAATTAGAAATACTCATACTTTAATTCAGTTTCCAAAGTTGAAGATGCATTTTTTTTTTAAGTATACATTCACTGTGGAATCTGATGTACAAGTGTATTATTAACTCAAGGTAAGTAACTGTTTGAAGTTAAACAGACTAAAAGGTCTTTAGCAGTTTTGTCAGTGGTTGAAGATCTTGCTGCTGCTTGATTAAAAGAAAAACGTTGCCTTTGTTTAAACTGATAGAATAATGCATGCTCATTTTTGAAAATGTGGAAAA